GTTAAGAAAAAACCCCAAGCCCGAGTCCATGTGATTGATGTCTCTGGCCTAGACATGTCTGATTGCATCTACAATTGTCTCCCAGTGCTGGATTAAAGAATTTTGAGGTCCTCTGCACTATGGAAATTGGGGGGCCCCCATCTTCACTCAAATTTGGCCTCCCTCTCCTCTCCTCTGCCCCCGGTTATATGACCCAAGCCAAACCTGAGTGGTGCTGTGACCATATGTGCCAGGCTGCCCGGTCACCCCCTGCCAGTGGTCGAGGGCCCCCCTGAGATGGGGGCCCTGTGTAAGTCCACTGAGTGCACATTGGTTAATCCAGGCCTGGCCCCACCTTTGTTGTCCCAGTTTTATCACTGCAGAATCTGAGGCCCAGAGACAGGAAGGCTCAAATTTGCAAAAGTGGCCACTGATTTGGGGGGTCTCCATTTTTGGAGCCCCCAAATTAGTGGACGCTTCTGGAAACACTGTCTTTTGTGATTTGCCCGAGAGCTGCACAGCTGGGCTGGAGGAAAACCCAGCAGCTGACTCACGAGGCGGGTTCTTCTCTTCCACCCATGTCACAGCACTGTCACTCCACTGGCTTCAGAGGTACTGCTGATGTACGCCCATCTAAGAAAAGAGGCAGTCCCCCAATCAGACCACTAGACCATCTGCTGGGCCTGAATGTGATCTCAATAACACCAGTGACCAGAGAGCAAGCCCTCTGACCCGTAATAAACAGAATGCCATGTCAATATAGTGCCGGGGGATTTCTGAGTAGTAGATTACAAGTTTTTGCAGACACAAAGAAATATACTTCGTGTTTCTACGGCAACTCTCATCTGAAAATCTTTCACCATTGCCCATTCATTCATTCATTCATTCATTCATTTGGTCTTACGATATTCACTGCAGGCAGGGAAATATTATCTCTGTTTTCAGCGGGGGAAACAGAACTAGAGAGGTGACTTTTTTCCCCAAAGTTCGCATGTCAAGTCAGCTGCAGGGTCAAGAACAGACACCCTGGAGACCTGAGTCCCAAGCCTGTGCTCTAACCACTAGTCAAACTGGCCCCTGTAGGCCTCTTTGGGCAACCTGATAAATTCAGATGCTGACACTGCCACAAGAAGTCTCATTGGCTGCCTGGCTGACCAATTACGAGGGCCTGTTTCTAGGCCGGCTCTATGAAGGTAGGACACGGAAGCTTGCTTAGGGAATCTCTCTGCCTGAAGAGGCATCACAATGGGGCATCATGCAGCAAGGCCCTCTCAAGCCAAGCAACAAGCCAGACAAAGGGCTGCTGTGTCCTCTCGGTGCTGAGCGCTCCGATCCCATCTTGTAATCCCTTGTAGGCTGGTTCCCATTGTGTCTGGCAGGCAGCGAAGTTGTAGACATAACAGGATTACAAGTGTGAAGAAAGAGGCTCCCTCCCTGAGGAGATAATTCTTAAACCTCCCAGACAAGGGCAGAAACTGGCTCCCAGGGGGCTCGAACACAAAAGTGGGAAGGGATTAGGCTTCAAAACCCTGCGCTGCAGCTGAAGTTTCAACATCTTCCGTGGAGGTTTCTTTTCCTGATGGTTGCTGTGACACCGTGGGACAGGTGACTGTGGAAAGTCCAGCCTGGACTCCTCTCAACTGGGAGAAGGTGTAGGATGCAGCACGTGGCACAATTGATCTGACCCTGCACACCCATGCCTGGCCTACAGCGGCATAGGTCCCAGATACACACTAATGCTTGATTCCTGAATGCCCTGAGCTAGTGGAGAAAACAAGACCACGCCGAGTGTCTGATGCATGGAAGTTCCTGGCATAAAATCCCCTCCTTGTCATCACCCACGCTCCACCATCCGAACTTGGGATGAACTGGGTGAGTGTCAGGGTTTCTTTTCATTTGGATGCAGCCCATGGAGGGCCTCATGCCCCCCACTTCCACCCGAGTTCCAGGTTTGCATTTGACACTGTAGGTTTTCCAGGGGTTTGGTGCAAAATCACCAACTGGCCCCAAGACTGGGAACCTTGGCAACCCCTCTGTGGAATCTGGGCGGAATGACGTGTTTGCAGCAAAGCATGAACCCAGGCAAGTTTCTTATGCTGTCAGAATTTGTTACAGGCATTTAACATGGATCAAGGGAGGGCTGTCTTGCTCTGCCACTTGGTTCAGAAACAGCTCAGAGGAAAGATGGTCCTGTGTTATACAACACGGGCCTGGGACTCAGGTCTCCTGACTCTGCCACTGTATCATGCTCTCCACACAGGGGACAGCGATCTTAAGCAAATCACTTAACTCCTCTGAACCCCAGGCCCTGTCGACCCTACAATGGCACAGTTACGGAGCTGGAGCTGTGTTGTTGTAGTGCTGTAGTGTAGATGCTTCCTATAGCGACAGATGGTTTTTTTCATTGCTGTAGGAACTCCACCTCCTCGAGCGATGGTCGCCAGCTTGGTGGAAGCATTCTTCCATCAGCCTAGCTGCGTCTATACCGGGGACTAGGTCGGCACAGCTATGGACTTCGGTGTGTGAATTTTTTTTCACAACCCCTGAGCGCTGTCAATGGGTAGACCGGGCCTCAGTTTTCCCATCTGTACAGCAGAGATAACAATACAAATCCACCTCGCCGGGGTTTGGCTAGACAGAGGCTCACACTGACTTAGCAATGGAAAAACACTACTGCTCTAGTCCGCTCTTCTAACTCCCGGCACGCTCCGGGATGGAATGCAGGCTGCTCCGATTCCTCCTATGGGCTCAACCCGCTTGACTCCCAGAGGCACTGGTCCAGTAATGTATGCCTCCAGAGCATTGCTAAGGGCATAGCCGGAAAGGAGCTAATAAACCAACTGGATGAGAGGCGCAACGAACGGCTTGAATACAAAAGGGAGCAGGGGCAGAACAACAGAAGCCCTCAGCAGTGGAGCAGAGATGCTTCCTGCCACGAGGCGCCCAGGTCCTCTGTTATGTGGTGGGTACTCGGGATGAGTCTGACTGGGGTGTTCTTCCCAGCCACCTCCACGCACCACCTCCCACTCTAGCCTACACACCTCACAAGACGTTCCAGCCAGGACGGCCCCCTATAAGCGTCCCACAGCTTTCCCCATTTCCAGCCTT